TGCCTCATCCTCCTGAGTAGCTGGGATTACAGGTGCCTGCCATGCCTGGCTAATTTTTTTATTTTTAGGAGAGATGGAGCTTCACCAGGTTGGCCAGACTGGTCTCGAACTCCTGACCTCAAGTGATCTGCCCGTCTCTGCCTCCCAAAGTGCTGGGATTACAGGCGTGAGCCACCACGTCGGCCAATCCTACAAGTTGTCTGGGTACAAACTATTTGAAAATACAGTAGGCCGGGCACGGTGGCTCACGCCTGTAATGCCAGCACTTTGGGAGGTGGGCGGATCACCTGAGGTCCGGAGTTCCAGAGCAGCCTGACCGACATGGCGAAACCCCAACTCTTCAAAATACAAAATTAGCCAGGCGTGGTGGCACGTGCCTGTAGTCCCAGCTACTCGGGAGGCTGAGGCAGGAGAATCGCTTGAACTGGGGAGGCGGAGGTTGCAGTGAGCCGAGATCACACCACTGCACTCCAACCTGGGCGACAGAGTGAGGCTCTGTTCTAAAAAAAAAAAAAAAAAAACACATGAAAGTATTCCATTGATAAATCGCCATAGTTAACAAGACATGGGCAAGACCTGTGGACCGAAAGATACCGTGAGGGGGCCATACCAAATAAGATGGGGAAAAATGAATAAACGTGACTCTTTGAACAGGAAAACTCAAAATTAGGAAGATTCTATGAAGGCATCAGCTCCCTAAATCGAGATAGGAGCCTAGGTCACCTTCTGCCTTTCCGCCCGGAAAATACCTTGCAGCTTTGGCACGGTGACCCAGTCAAGAGCCGCAGTGCTGGGGGCCGGCGTGGATTTGGTGGGGGTGTTGACCACGGAGCTCTGGGGACTGGTGGGCCAGGCCGTGCTGGGGGCAGCGGGGGCAGGAGCCGCCACGAGGGCCGGAGTCATGCTAGCTGTGGTGGTGGCCTCCAGGATCCAGTCACGCAGCCTGGTGACTCGGGCGTAGACCCCGGGACGCCGCGCTTCTGCACAGCCGATCCCCCAGCTCACAATGCCGGCCAGAAAGAACCTGCCGGAGGGTTCCTCACACACCAGGGGTCCTCCCGAGTCACCCTAGGAAAGCAACACACCTCAGGATGGGTCAGCAGCAGCCAGTCCAAAAGCCGGCGCTGCAAGGCCCAAGCAGCACCTCCGCGCCGGCACTGCCAAGGCCTCTCTCCACGTGCGCTCACAGAGCACTCGTGGGCTGATCATGTCTCAGAACCTGTTGCCTCTTCTGTGGAGGAAGAAAAACATCCGAGACAGCTGGACTATAGGATGTCTAAGATGTCTTTCAGTCCTACCATGGACAGGTTAAACATGACCCAAATAACATCCCCTCCTCTTCTTAACCCAGTAGATCTTTGATAATGTCACCACTTGCCTAGGCTGACAGTATGGCTGCCATGCTGGCGCCTGCAGATATCTCACTGGTA